TTGTACCCTTCGCCGTAGAGCCTGCTTGGCGGGAACCAGGGCTTGTACTCGTTCCGCACCATTCTGTACTCGTGGATTTTCTCACGCATCTCTTGTGAGGACTGCCGTGTCTGATTCAGCTGCTCGCCGAGGGCAGCACTGGCGATGGCGTCGCGCATGGTGTAACGCTCAACCATGAGTTTGTTGAACGACTCCTTTGTGCGTACGGGTATTTCCGCCGGCGATGAGCCTTGCACGGCATCTTTTTCATCACCATCTGGTGCTGATGTCGCAGACGTCGCGGTCGGCCTCACGCCCGGCGCAGGCTCCGAGGTGGCTGGTTGTGTCGCCATGGTCGCGATTGCTGGACGCAGCGATGTCGCCGCAACGGTGCGGCAGCGTCAAATGCGTCAAGCAGACGCGCAGGGGTTGTGATTTATACCGTAGCGCAGGGTATCGTTGGGTTGGGCGGGATATGCGATGGCGACGAGACGAGGCTCTGATGTTGAAATCTATGGCTTTGGGAAAGGGTTTCGTACTGGACTGGGACCAGCACGCTCCTATTGCTGGCTGCCAATCGGCGCGGAAGGCTGAGCAGGATAAGTATATATACAAATGTTTGCTGGTAACTCGGTACTCATACTTTGTACTGGTACTCGTCCCCTGCACTCGACGGGCCGGTGATAACGGGCGAATTAGAGGGCGCCGTCGCAACTAGCTCGTCTCCACTTAGAATCCGAAGCGGGAAGGGGAATCTCGTCAAGTTTATCGTAATGTCTAGGCATATAAAGAAACCTGCTCCGGTCATGGTACCATGTTGACTAGCATAGTCTCGGCAACTAGTCTCGTATGGCACCAAGTCTATACATACATACATCTGTGTGTTATATATTCTCAGTGTGTGGTTTCAATCGATGTTCCCCTGTTGATAACTGGGCTCTGCCAGGGTGTTTGAGGTCATCATGATACCAGAAGTAAACTTCACCCAGTCACGATTACGATGGGCACTTTATTGGTAAGTCACGATCAGGAGTACCAGCGCCAAGGTACCAGGCTTCCGGAAATCACCCACAATATAACATCCGATTCCCCAGAGACAGTCTTGGTTACGGTACGGCAAAAGCTCACCAAGAAGCTACAGGGTAGGTAGCAAATCGATGTATGTACGGAGTACAGATGCGGCTTTACAGAAAAGATATCCACAATCGGCCACGGTCTGCTTGTGGCTGGCCAGCCTAGGCGATGCAGGCGATATTACATACGCGCGATGCCCACAGAAACCATGGAAACGGCCCAGTCCAGGGTTTACTCGCAGCTCGAGCAGGGCTAGATTGGGTTCTGGTCCAAATCCCTACAGCAATTTCTGGACATGCGACGTCCAGTGCCCCTCTTCACTGACACGGGAGCAAAACTCGTCGGCGTCCAGCTGTCTGTTGCTTCCCATTCCCACAAAGCCAAAGACTCGCAGCTCATCCCCATCCACTCCCACTCTTCCCGTCTCCAACACCACGCCCCGTACCTTTACCAAGAGTCAGTATTGTGCAATTAAGCGTCGCCCATCATGTCGGACGAGAAGGACGCCGTTGGTATGTATTTCTGCACCCTCCAGCACCCAGCCTGGAAGCTCTGTCTCGAGCTGGACCTTGGAGCTCAAGTGCTGCCCCTCTTTCCCGCGCACAGAAAACAACCTACCCCGCCATTGATCATTGATGGGCAGCCAACAGTCAATACACCACGACCACCCTTCACGAGGCTGTTTTTTGGGCTCGAAATGGGCACACGACCTCTTTCAACCCGGCCGCTGACCAGACGTGTACAGACTACTCCCTCAACAACCCCGACACTCTGACCAAGTACAAGACTGCTGGTCAGATCTCTGAAAAGGTCCTTGCTGAGGTCTCTAAGCTCTGTGTCCCCGGTGCCAAAATCGTCGACATCTGCCAGAAGGGTGATAAGCTACTCGAGGAAGAGGTCGGCAAGGTTTACCGCGGCAAAAAGATCACCAAGGGTTCGTTGTCGGCACCGCTCATTTCGAATTGCTCCCTTGCTTGCTAACACAGAGCATGGCAGGCTTCTCTCACCCTACCACTGTTTCGCCTGCCTCATATGTCACCCCTTACACCCCCTTGACCTCCGATGAGAGCGAGGCCACTCTGGAGATTCAGCCCAACGAACCCATCAAGATCCAGCTTGGTGCTCAGATTGATGGCTTCGGTGCCATTGTCTGTGACACCGTCCTGGCGGGCGAAAGCAAGGACGAGGTTCTCACTGGCCGTCCCGCTGACCTGATCCTGGCCACCCACTACGCAAATGAGCTGCTTCTTCGGTTGATGGTCCCCCCTGGCCTCCTTGCTCAGGGCACCGACGAGGAGAAGGCGAAGGCTGCTTCTCAGAAGCCTCCTACCCAAGCCAAGATGACCAGCCTGCTGGAGAAGGTTTGCGAGACGTATGGCTGCAACCTCGTCGAGAGTACCACCTCATGGCTCTTCGACCGCAATGAGATTGAGAGCACCAAGAAAATTGTTCTTGCTCCCCAGGATGGCGGCAAGGGCGACGGTGTTCCCGCCACCTCCGAGGTCTGGGGTGTCGAGATGGGCGTCTCTCTCGGTTCCGGCAAGTGCAAGGCCTTGGATGGGCGTGCAACTCTGCACCGTCGCACCACCCAGACCTACGGCTTGAAGCGCCCTACCTCGCGCAAGATCCTTTCCGAGGTCCAGAAGAAGTTTGGTACCTTCCCCTTCAGCCTGCGACAGCTCGAAGACGAGCGCGATGCCAAGTCTGGTGTCGTTGAGTGCGTTCGTGGCAATGTTTTCCGCCAGTATGAGCTTGTTGGTGACAAGGACAACGCCCCCGTTGCCCGCCTGCTCACCACGATTGGTAAGTAGAGCATCTGATGGAATATACGCAGCGCTACCAGACAGTAGCAACTAACGTCGCAATAGCCATTACCAAGAACGGCATCACCAAGCTGGGTGGCCCTCCTGCCCTCGATCTGAGCAAGGTCAAGTCGGACAAGAAGATCACCGACGAGGAGATTCTCAAGATTCTGGAGCAGCCACTGGCCAGAAACACTGGAAAGAAGAGCAAGAGCAAGAAGAAGAAGAAGCCCGCCAAGAAGGCTGCCGCCGCCGCCGCCGAGGATTCTGATGACGATTCCGACGACAGCGACGAGTAAGCATGGCAAGTGTAGGAAGTCAGGGTTGATGTCTAGAAGAGTATTTTAGTCATTGTCCGAGTTTTAGGGACAAGGCGATAAACTCGCCGGTGAAGGAGCAGCAACAAGCGACCATTACCGCCACTGGCTGGGAACGTGGAATATATTTGAGGGGGGAATTGTAGCATGGGATTCCAGCTAGGAAGTGACGGTGGAAGTCTCGCACATTATGGACACGGACGTGGATTTTGGCACCCCTGGCCTGGTTGGGTGATATCGCGGTCTCCACAGCGAGGTTGCGTGTGAGGCTGGTGAGACGGATATACTATCTAGACAACTAACGCTGTTTCTGGCGCTTGATAAAAACATATGAATGGGTCAGTGACCGAGTGAGGTGGGCAATGGCCCAATTGCCGTGAAAGTCAACCGTGAAAGTCAATTGACGGCCTCGGAAAGCCCTTGTTGTTGTCGATCAACCCGCTCGCTTTAAATGCCTAGGGGAGTAAAGCTGGGAGTAATGTTATGCCCGCTCGGTATTTGAGAGCAAGGAGCACGCAGCAGGAGCAGTCGTACTACATAGTACTACTAGTATCAACTGGTCTTTGCCCATGTTGCTTGGCAGCCAAGCCCGCACATCCATACATGTGCAAGCCGGGGGGTTCTGGAGCATTTTGAGGGGCATATGAAGAGGTAGATACCTACCTACCTAGTAGGTACGTTGCCACCTCATTTTCAGGTAGTTGGCTATTTTGTTGAACGCTGGTCGGCATTTGAGCCCGGTACGTGGGATGATGGGTCGCGTTTTGCTAGTTAATTATACTACTAGTAGTACCGACGTTTGGAACGCAGGGAATGCTAGATGACTTGCGGCCCCCCTTTTTTTGCGCCCAAGCATCTGCCAAATTATTTTCGAAGCCGCCTACGCGCAATAGATACCTTAAGTACTTAAGTAGGTTAAGTACCTAGTAGCCAGCTGCACGAGAAACCGGCAGGGGATAGTCGGACGAGAAATCAGGTTGCAGGACGCGGACGAGGCGGAACCCGGGATGGAGGAAGAGCAGGAATTTGGAGGAACTTGATCGAGGACAAATCCTGGCTGTTGTGCCACTCACCGCGGCCCAAAGCGGCGACTGGGCGAGTGCTGTTTGTCTGCAGTGCAGGAACTGACGTTATTGAGCAAAGCACGGCTCGCGTATTCATTCCATGTTCCCATGACTTCTGCAGAGCAACTACTAGGTAAAGTACTTACGTATGTTGGTACATGTCAACTGGTACTTTTTTTCCCCAATGTTCCCAGGTCCAGTCAATGTTAAAGGTTGAGGCGGCCAGGCGCTGAGATGTCATCACGACCAGTGCGCATTGAGCGCTGTGCCCCCCCTGTCCTACACTGCCTAAACAGGCGTGGCATAGCACGGCCGCAGGTGCCGCAGGGCCTCCTCGGCGAGTCCTCGCACGTCTCGCGCGCCTCCCACAGCTCTCTGTGCGGTACATGTATGGATTTCGGCAGCCTGTCGACGTTCCAGGCCCCGGGCACCCAGATTTCCAGACACCCAGTTGACCCTCCCGAGACTCCTCCACGACGTTCCTTCTCCTTCCCTTCCTTATGAGCGCGTCAAACGCACCGAAAAAGCGCGATTCGGTAGCCGGAATCCATGCTACAGCTCACGCAGCAAGTGAATACGCCCCGGAGTCCCGCGTGGCCGCGTGTTTTCCCTTGTCCCGCAACCGTTGCTGACGAACCCTTTGCCAGGCTCGAGTAGGTGCGTTGCCTTGATCCCGCGACCACCGCAAGGGGCGCGCATAAGACGGGCACCCCCAACACCTATGAACGGGCAAGAGGCGAATTTTTTTTTGGGCACACACAGCAATGATATCATCCAGTGCGAGGGCCTCGCGGTCGGCCTCGCGATATTCGAGTCCTGCGCAACCAAATGGAGGCACCGTGAGCAAGCCATTGGAGGTGTCACGGAGTTCCGCAAATGAGGCATCGCGATCCTTTATGCAGCGATGGCTGGAACCCTCTGTACAGAGCAAGCCGAGCTTCGAGGAGGCTGGATTGTTGCGTGGCGGAGTTTTGGAAAATATGGCCCCCCTAGGAGCATTGCCCAAGGCGAAGAAGACAAGCGGGGAGAATGGGATGCCGACGAGGAAAATCATACTGAAGACTTCCACTACGCACCCGCCAAAGAAGCCGCCGGGACGAGAAACTCCAGCTCACGACGACAGTGATGTTGTTGCGGCCGCGTCTCCGGCCGTGTCACCGCCAGTCTCCCCCTTGTTCCCTCCCGCGCCTGCCAGCAAAAGGAAGTCGCTGGTTGCAAGAACAAAGGACGACGAGGCAGACGACGAGGAGTATGATCCAAGAGGCGATGCCCGTCGCAGGCGCTCGCGCAGAGTGTCGTTACCTGCGCAGAGGACCGTGGCGGCGGCGGTACCGCCAACAACAACAATCACTACTGCGGCACAAGCACCATCGCCTGCGCGGGAACGCAGGAGCTCTACAAGCATTGTGCTAAAGCCCGCAACTCCAGTCAAGCGTCACTCTCGAAGTGAAGCCGGAAAGCAAGGACTCACGGACAAGGTGGTCGAGGCAGCTGTAGACGAAGCGCTGAAGCATTATCGCTACCCAACTGCTTGGGCTCTCAAGACGCTCTACGAGGAGAAGAGCGGGGACCGGGACTTTGTGGCCATGATTCAGGATGTTTTCAGTCAGACTGCTGATGAGGAAACCATGGACGAGTTTTACAGGCAGATTGAGGAAAGAAAGCGCCAAGGAAAGAAGGACAATCGGGGGTGCTACTTCTTTGTGCCTCCTGCCACCAACAGCAGGTTCACGCCGCACAAAGCGATGGCTGCGCCGTATGCGCATCTCATCCACGAGCCGGAGGGGCTGCCTCGGGAGAGCATGACACGAGCGGCCAAGAAGGCCAAAACCTCACATGGCGGTGCCGGCCCTGGGACGTCCAACGCTGCTACGCCAGGAAGAAAAGGGACAGCAGCAGCAGGAGCAGCAGCAGGAGCAGCAGCAGGAGCCGTCGGCACTGGGCAGACGGACAAGGCGACTACGAAAATCATCAGGGTGAAGACGCCGGCATCGCGGAAACGCGCGCGACGAGACTCGGGGTCCAGCGACTCATCACTCTCGACGGCGATAAGCATGTCGTCGCCCGAGGTGAGGGTCAGCAGCCTCAACAGCCCCAGCGCGTTTCGAGGGGCAGCAGCAGCAGCAGCACCAGGCCGGGGAGCCGTACGAGGAGACGAAGCCGTCGAACGAGGAGGGCGAGGAGCTCGACGAGGAAGCGTGGCCGTTGCCAGCACCGCCGTCCCCCCCCCCGCCATGCCCACCACGACGCCAACCACCAAGGGCACCACCAAGGGCACTGGGGCCAAGTCCCAGACTGCGCCAAAATCCCAGCCAATCACCACCCGCGGCAAATCTGTCGCCTCCAGCAAACAGCTCGTGTCCAACTCATCCCGACCAAACTCTCCCACCCTTCCCAACACAAGTCGCACGCGCCCTCACAAATCCTCGTCCTACCTTGCTGATGATGCCAGCATGCCTGGCCGGGTCTCCGCTGCAGAGCTCTTCCCCAACCTCAAGGTCAAGTCGGCAGAAAAACCAGCCGTTTCACCAGCCAAGGACGCCGAGATTGACGCCCTTGACGCCCCGGCTCCTATGCCAGAGGAGGAGGAGGAATCATTTTGGGACCGCCGACGGACTGCGCGGAGGGTCACGAACAACCTCAGCCCCCATGAGAGCTCTATCCGAGGCGGCCCTGCCGCAGACCGTGAGACGACGCCTGTGAAGACGACGAGGCGGACGCGCCAGTCCCTTGCCGCCTCTGTCACCACCAGGGCTACTCGCTCGGCCAGCAAGCGTCCAAACGACGACTTGGAGAGGACTGTTTCGCCTATTGCTTTCTCCTTGCCGGGAGATGGAAGTTCTGCGGTGGGATCCCGGGCCGCTACACCCACGTCGCTACGGCCAGCCAAGAAGCAGAAGACGGGGTTGCGCGTCAAGACATCGTGAGTTGTCCCCCCCCATCTCGTTACTTTACAATCTCAGCATGCAAATGCAAGCCTACGGAGTGAGGAGGCCATGGCGGCCGGCTCCAGGCATTTTTGACAGGAATTCATCTTCACGCGCGACCTGGCAGAGAACATGGTAACTAACATGTCGTCGGCAGGCCGGTCAAGAAGAAGGGCGGCGCCGCAGGTGTGCCGCGGCCATCTCATGAGCTAAATTCTTCATCACTCAACGGTATCGCTCCGAAGGATCCGGTAAGTCACGATTTCTTTCTTGGCAACGCAGAATCGCCACGGCACTGTCTATGTTTTCATCTTCCCCCCTTCCTTTCCCTTCCCTTCAGTCATTTTCCCGCGGCCAAGAGTGAGTTGCGACTCAGACTGTGCTTGGGGAGCTGTTTCGGGAGGGCCACGCCATGTTTTGGGTCGCACGGCGGAACTAGGATCACCACGGATCACCACGACACCTGAGCAATTTGCTAGTGGCTGCAGGAAACTGCATGCGTGCAACCCGGTTTTGCCTCATCTTTTTGTCCATGTGGAAGATGGTGGAGGAACTCCCAACACGTCCTGTTTGGACAAGCATGGCGCCCGAGGCGTAGAGTCACCGCAACTAACAACCATCTCACAGAACGCCGACAATGATGAATACTGCTCAGCATGCGGAAACACGGGTGATGTCGTGTGTTGCGATGGCTGCCCACGGTCGTTCCACTTTGAGTGTGTCGACATGGTGCAGTCGGATGATTTGCCTGACGAGTGGTATTGCAATGAGTGTCTCATTCGACGATACCCCTCGCGCGTACCCATTCACAAAGGAATCTTTGGGAGCGCGCTCAACAATTTGGAGAAGAGCATTCCCCGGGCATTCAGTCTACCCAAGCGCGTGCAGAACCGCTTTGAAGGAGTAAAGGCCGGTGCTGATGGTGACTATGAGGAGGTGGTAAGCAACAGGACGGCGAGGTGAGTCGCGTTGTTTGCTCTTCTTTTCTTTTCTCTTCCCCCCCCCCCGAGCCCGTCGAGTGAAGTTATTTGTGCGATGAGGGACGCCGTCCTATTTTGCGCGCTTCGCCCCCCTCCCTTCGCACTGCCAATATCACATACATCATGTACATACACATACATTGTACATACGCACGCTCTGGGACTAACAAGTGGCTCAAATTGCAGGAAGCGAAATGGCACGGATGAACCCGATTTCTTCAAGCAGCGCGAAGACGGGCAGGCCGTATTGTGCCATTCCTGCCAGAAGCCAGCAACTCAGATCAGGTCCATCATCCCTTGCAGCGTGTGCTCGTTTTATTGGCACATTGACTGTCTGGATCCGCCTCTCGCCGTGCCACCTGTTCTCAAGACTTGGCGCTGTCCCGCCCACGTAGACGACATCCTCATTGACGTCCCTAGTCTCGCCCCGGCCCATCGCTTCCGCAGGCTCAAGGGGAACCAGACAGTGACCCCTGCCTTTGGCCGTGGCCTCAAGAACAATGGCCACATTGAGATTGACTGGACCGATGAGCCCGACGAACCTGACGAGTCCGGCTGGCCCGACCATCGCTCCTTTGGCCGGACATACAAGCTTCCGGCCAAGGGCGTGATTCTCGACTTTATCCAACAGTAAGTCATCTTGATTCACAAAGAAACCATGTACATATGTACTCTAACCCGCGCCACGCCATAGGATGAGGAATCAGGGGGCTGGCTATGGCACTCGACAGAACGAGTCCAAGCTCATTCCTTATCCTACTCCACCAAGCCATGGCGACTCCACGAGCCCACTAGCTGGCTCTGCCTTGGATCGCAAGATGCAGGAGATGCAAGTCTCTCTCAACTTGCTAGGTCTCCAGCAACATCGATCGGATGGTGTAGACAAACTCACGGCTGCTCTTCTGGTAAGTGCCAAATGCCCAACCAGCGATTGACCAGTTTCCGAGCTAACCATGGAAAACATCCAGACCGCCGCCGACGACAGTATGCTCGCCCTCATGGCCAAAAGCAACGCCGATAACCTTGCCTCAGGCCAGCTTACCGCCGGGGACCGCCTCGGTCTCCGCGCCATGCTCGCTCAAATGGACGCTGTGGGCACTCGCATCAGGCAACTTCTAGCAGAGGACAGTTCTACACCTGCACCGCAGCCCATTAAAGCAGAGGCTAGTTCCCCCGTTATTGCATCGACAACTGGGCTCAACGACCCCCATGCACAGAAGATGGACCATTGCATGCCCGTCTCGGAACCAACACCGCCTTCCACCGTTGACCATGGCGAAGGCACCATGGATCTCGATTAGGAATCGGAACTAGACAACAATCTCACAATCCGCCTTGAGCCACTGTACGTGGACGCATATTTATCCTGCCACCTTTAAAACCTACCTTCCATCAATGATATTACGCTTTCCAAGATCGAAAAGCGGGGATCTTTGAAGAATAACCCTAATATCCCCTTTACACTCCCGCAACCCATTCATCTACCTTCCCATCACCCGCACGGTGACATCGCCGAGTCATGTCCACAGCTAGAACCCTTTGTCGCCAACATACACACGCCATTCGTCCTTTTGGCACACCACTTTTCTCCATGTACTAGATAATTTCAGATAGCATTCAGAATGAGGAGCGAGTAGGGGGCGTCAGGAAGCAAGAAAAACTCGTTTGACCACGTGTATCATGTTTTATTTTTCCCTCTTTTTTTCTTTTTGGGTTCTGTCATGAATAAGACTAGCGAGAGGAACAGGCGAGGCAAGATCCATGGTGCATGGTCGCCCCATAATGAGGCTTATTTTTATCCTATGCTGTCATTCATCCGTCACCTGTGTGTGTGTGCCAGTGTGCTGTGAATCATTGCTGCCGCAGAACTGTATATGCTGAACTACCGATGCTATAGCGAACTCCCGTGTCTCCCGGAAACCACCTCTAATATACACCATGTTCTCACGGCGTGATTGCACTGTCCTAAAGAGGAAAGCGTACGCCTCGTCATGCGCTCAGACAGGCAAAAAGACAGACCAAAACATCAGACAACCACATAAGAAGTAGCATGACAGAACTATCAACGTCGACAGAGCCCCTATTCTGTCAAGCGATACAATCATGAGATACATCTTCAGGTTCCGCTCTAGCACCATACACCACGTCTTGTCTGTCCCTTCTTAGATAATGCCCTTTACTCCAACAAGCTATCATCTCATCCGACACAACGGTAAAAGTAATCCACCGTACGACCCTATGGGCAGCAAATGAACACCAAAAAAAAATTGGTGCAAACATAGACATCAAAAAGTTTACTCCAGAAGACGACACAGGAAACAAAAAAATTCGAATTGGCGCATGATTTTCATGTTAAATTCAGGGAGGCGTGGCGTGTCATCATGGTTAGTTTTTGAAGAAACGGATACAACACCAGAGTTCTCTTTGAGGCCCTCGACGCAAATAAGAATGTGAGAGACCTGCCCGACACATTTTCATTTGTCCCTCGGGCTGAGAACAAGCAAGCAAGAGCTTGTGAAAAGGGGCTGGTGAGCTAACAATGAAATATAAAAATGCAGCAGCCTTTGCCAGTAATCGTCTAGGGAGGCTGGTTTAATTGCAGCATCTCGACAGCCCTAACGCGTAGGGCATAGTCTACCGAGTTCGAAAACCCAAACTCCACCGCTCAACTTTTGGTAAGCCAGGTGTGGTCTGATACTCAGGGAAAACGGACAGGGGAAGCCGGTGCCTTGTCGTTTAAAAGTTTCGAATGTTTTTCATCTCTATCAGCGTTTGTTAGCATCTTTATCAGTATCGATCGAAAGGATGGAACATCACGTACGCGACCACCACGTCGATTGTTACTCTGGTCCTGAGGCATGTACGCCATGCTTTGCATCCCACCCATATTGCCATAGCTGTATCCGCCGAGCCCTACGCCAAAGCCCGGAGGAGCATAGGGCGGCTGCCCAGTTGGTATCTGGGGCATCTGAGATGTCGGAGGCTGAATAGGACTTCCGTTGGCCAAGTTTGGCTGGCGATACTGATCAACAGCTGGAGCTGGGGGTGCGCCATATGTCGCGTACGGGGCCTGCATTGTCGGATAACTGTACGTCATTTGCGGCGTTGGTCGGTTCAACATGTTCTGCTGGTACTGGAGCTGCTGCAAACTCACGGCTGGAGCCATAGGACCTGCTGGGCTGCCATACATAATGCCTTGCCCATACTGTTGGAATGCAGCAACGTTGGCGTCGGCGGTGTCACCTCTTTGATTGCCATACCCTGTCTCTAAGCCGGCCGCACTGGGCTGAGCGCTAAGAGCATTGAAGAAGGGCTGGTTGTTGGATTGTCCACCCTGGGCATGCTGGCCATTAATGGTTCTGTTGTTGGCTTGTCGAGACGTTGGTCTCTGTCGGCCCTCGGAAGTGCTACTGTTTTCGCGAGTGGGAGCAGCTCGGGTAGACAAACCAACCTCGTCCATCAATCGTTTGTATCCCTGATTAGGCTGAGCCTTGATCTTGAGGAGGACCGTCTTGACGTTTTCTATGACTTGGGTCCGAGTACTCTCGTCAAAGAAAGGGGTTGTTAAAACCTTGAAGATCAGCGTGGCGCCGCAGTTGGGATCATGAAGAATGGCCTCAAGAACCTGGTCGTTGGGTGAAAAGAAAAGCGCCTTGAGTATAATATCTCGAGCCTCCGGTTCAGCTTTTTGATTGATGATCTTGAGAACAGTAACATAAGCCACTTTGTGGGTGCAAAGGTATACCAGGTGAGGAACCAGGCGCGGGGCCAAGACTGTGCGCTTCTTTGGGAACGAACAAGAATCCAGGAAGAACGTCAAGAGCAGTGCACTGTTGGAGTTGGTTGCTAGTTGCGCGCTGTGTATGGCAGTGGCCGCGGAGACAACCATGTCTTGAGCCCTTGTGCCAAGTTTGGATTCCAGACATCCTCTCACGGCTCTAGCACTGCAGCGGCCTTGGGCAATTTCCCACATGCGGCTAACAACTCCCTCGAAGAAGAAATCGTTATACGGAGGTCCCCAGTTCAAACAGCCCTGGAGTACATAGTTGCCGTACTGATCAAGGAATAGGGGCACAGTGTACGGCTTGAGGTGCTCAACAATTGTGGTCTTCTGCTCATGTGTCTTGCAGACGGCTATAATCTTTTGCGCTGCCCAGGTACCGTTCTTGTGGACTCCTATTTCAGCCAAATGCGGCGCAATCTCTGCAAGCATGGCGTCTCGGATCTGGTCAGAGCAGTGTTCAAACAGCTTTTGAACAACAGTGTTGCCAAGGTAGTCTGAGGAGAGCTCCGCAATCTCGGGAAGCATGTCGACGGCAATGTTCTCAATCTCAGGCTTCGACAGGAGTTGATTATCAATACGCTTTCGTATGTCCCTGAGTTTCGGGGCGTCATGAACCCTCGTGTGGGTGGGCTCACGGATAGGAGGAATCTCCTCGACATAGGCTGTGTAATGTGTCGCTGATTGAATATACTGTGAAACAGCTGCCTTGTCTTCATCTGTTGCTCCGAACTGCGTCACAATCTCCATCATGTCTTCGGCTAAATCGGCCATGGGTGGCACAGTTGGAGTAGAAGTACCCCCATTAACTGTCAAGGTACCATCGGTAGAAGTCGTGAGCCCAGGCCCACTGGCATTGTCCTGACCCTTCGCAAACGGATCGGGGCTGGGAGATGGGAATACCCCGTCATGGCCTGGGGTATTAGATGCTGAGGGTGGCTTGGCGAAGTTGATCCGAATTGGCCCAGCACCAGGAAAGATCTCTTTGCCGTTCATTGAAGCCTTTGCTGCTACCGAGCTTTCTACCCTCTCGAAATTGACAAAGCCACAGTTCTTATGTGTGAGCACACGAGCCGACGAAATTGGGCCATGACACTTGAACATTTCAATCAGGGTCGATGTAGTGGTCGATGTCGGGATACCGCCGAGCCACAACGCACTTGTCGGACCTTCCAACCCTTGTTCTTCTGCATTGAGAAGACCAGCGTTACGGCTGTTAGACCTGCCAAGGTTCATGCCAGCAATTGCCTGAGGGAGGTCATCATATTCCTTTCCATCTTGCAAACGAATTTCGGCAGGAGCAACCGAGCTAGGGATTCCGACGTTGCTGGGAATGTGGGCTCGAGACAACCGGTTGCCGGGAGCTTCCAGAACACCAGCAGTCCGAGCGCGAGGACGAGTGGCCGTGGCCTGGTTTACAAACGCCTGAACAGCCAGGTTGTGGCTGTGAATTGCCGCATTGGTGGCGGCTAACTGATCCTGGAGAGCAACGTACTGACTTTCCATGGGCAAGCCATCAACTTCGTAGTCATCTTCTTCATCGGCGTACCTGTCTTTATTGTTGACTGAATATGACCTGAAGCGATTCGACTGCCTGGTGAAATCCAGGTTGGCCATGTAGGGCGTCGCCAACTGAGCTCGAGGAGGCTGAGGGGTTTCAGCAAGACCGAGGTAGTCTAGTGTGCGCATATGCACATCAGAGTCACCGCCGCCTTCCTTGGAGAACTGAGACTGGGAAGGCGAACTGGGTCCGTTGGAACCAACACTTGCGATGCTTGCCAGAGTTGACCCTCGCTCACGACCAACACCGGCGGGGTTCCAGCTACTGAAGATGGAGGGACCGAAGGGCGAGGTTGTACCCGGGAGTGTGCTGAATTGGCTACGCTGTGGCATAGACCCGGCACGAAGCCGAGAAAGAAGAGCAGAACCACCGGTTGCACCGTCGGAATGGTCCAGGTTTGGCGACGGCGATTTGCCGAATGGGCTTTGGGCCGGAGTAACTCGAGCAGATTTGACGGTCAGTCCAGGGATATTTAAGAGGCCGTTGACCGGACCGCCGGGCAATCGAGAAGGAACTGTGCCAGCCCGAGCTCTGCCAGTGTGAGGCATACTTTCGGGAGTCGGAAGGTGGCCAAAGTCAGGAAAGCCATCGGTGGGAGACTCAGGAATGTTCTCGCGAAGAGGAGTCGAATTTCCGCTTGTAGGAGGGCCACCCCATGGGTTGAGTGGCAGACCTGGGATGCCTTCTTGGGCTTGGATTTCGCGAGCTCTGGTTGTGGAAGCAAGTTGATTAGCACAGGTTCACTGAAAAGAGCGTAAAACGACCCGAAAAAAAAGGGACCGTAGTTGCGCGTTGCAAAGCTTCGCTTTGCGCACATGGAGTGTGGCCACTACCACCAACCTTTTGGAAAAGAGCCGGCTGGACCCAGCCAAGTCGTGCGACGGAGAACCGGCCCCGGAGCGCGCATTACCCGCCATTATGCCGCTCGAAAGGCCAAAAGGAGATCTTCCAGCAGAAGC